TATAGTTTTTTCTGAAATAAACTGAAAAAAAATTATGATCGGTCCCGCACTAATGAAGTAAGGATTGAAAATTGTTTTAAGGAACTTGTGATGTGGGATACGTTGACGGTGAAATACACTCTACCGTTGGTATTAAATATTCTGCCGTGAGATGGTCACATGTATGTTAACAAAGCTAATTAAAACACAGTAATTAAGGCACGATGTTAATAATCTTATAATAAGGTAAAACTGACTTCAAAAACTAATAATAAATAATTTCTACATGAAAGTTTCATCAAACATACGCCTCAACTTTAGAACTATCTCATTTTTTTTTTCAAATAACACTGACCGGCAATAGTGTCAAAGATGTAAGAAGTCTGATTTATGTCAGCTCATCCATCTGTCAATCATTTACGCGCTGGCTGTAAATTTCACAGTACGCAATCAATTCATCGATCGCGAGAATGGAATCGATCCGGTGCCAATGAAAATGTTAATTTTAATTTTAAGTGCAGATATATAACGCCCTCGGCGGTAAAGGAAAACATCTTGAGGAAATCTGCATGTCTCAGAAAGGAATATTTATAGGATATGGGATATAAGACGCCAATACATATTAGAGCAGCGTAGGAGACTAATTGTTTCATAACCCTCTCATGAATGGGAGGAGGCCTGTGCCCAGCAATGTGTCGTATAAGACTGTAACTTTACTTAATTCATTGCCAAGCTTAGCGACAACTCCACACTTCCTCACCCCGCAATACGAAAGACAGCAATTGTCTATTTGTAAACTTATGGAAGATGCTGGTTCTAGAACTTCACATATCTACGAAATGAAATAAAGACTAGTCTTGAATTATCTGACAACTATTTTGATTGTAATTTATACTATTGCTAATAGAACAAAAGGAAAATAGTATCTACAAGCAAACAGCTTACTCCTCAACATATTTAAAACATTAAAGTATCTCCTCACTAAAACCTAGGCCGCACTTCAATTAACAGTCTCGTGTGTTTAATTCGCATCGCTTTGTTACTGTTAGCGTACTATCTACGCAACGCAATACTCTGAAATAGAATTGTTAGCACTCGAAACTCGCTATTGTAATCTTCAGTGCCTCGTTCCCGTTTGCTCGAGGTCTGGAACTGGGTCACGGATTCACGGTGGATATACACCGGAAGTGGAGTAGGCATGCATAGTTACATATAAATGTCGAAAAGGCTTAATAAAGTCAATCATTTCTATTCCGTATTCGTGGTGAAGGTACGCTAAATATCTTTCGTGTACTATAATGCGTTCGAACTGAGAGAGATACTTCCAAAGTCAAATATTTGTCACGGCTCAGCAACAACAACTCTCTTTCATAAGAACCGTTATATTGAAAATGGATGATTAGGTACCGTATAACAGTAATAATATTTTTACTTAATATTATAATTTTTCGACAGAAAGGAGTTCTGAGAAGAATTCAATTATATATTTTGTCTGTAATGTTTTATGTAACTTGTTTTATGTAAATGTAACTTGTCCAATTTATAACTGATTTTGCCGTTATTTGATTTTTGACTGATTTTACTTTCGCAAATGTTAAATATTAATTTAAACCAAACCTTATAATAATTTGAAATACGTGCATATACAGGATTATTTTTCAAAGACCAAGCTAGACATGGAACGAGTAGTGATTCGCCGAGTACTCGGCCACCGGGTACTCGGCCTAGATTGGGCCGAGTACTCTGCCGAATACTCGGTTTTAAAAAAAACGCGGTAACGGGCGGCGTGCGGTTATTTCCCTTACAAACAAGATCCAAATAGAGCCGAAAAACTAATGTTTTTGCATCACAATCTTCCTCTCTTAAATTTTAAATATTAGTAATAATAATTTCTATTATACATTCTTATATACGTTTCAAATATTTCTGCTGCTTCTAATGGTTCTGATGTTTTAATGTGTCTAATATAATAATAATGATAAAAACTGGCTTTTTGTCTTTATTTTTCTCTGGAATATAATTAAGGCCGAGTACTCGGTACTCGGCCATTAATACTCAAAGCTCGGCCGAACCCTAAAAAAAGGCTGAATCCGCTGAGTACCGAATCCAAACCGAGTACTCATCCCATGTCTAAGACCAACCAAATTTAATAGTTAAGTTAAAAATATAAATACTTATATATAATTTATTTGCAGTTTTGAAAAGTACGCGTATATAAGGTTTCTACATTTAGTTCAAAATATCCGAAATTGAATGTGATTTATGGGCAACAACGACGCGCGCTCGTGTGTGTACAAGTGAACGGAGCTTTTGCCTACTATTTCCTTCCACAGTGACACGCTCGCTACTTAGTTGATAACTGTAATAATACATAAAATAAAATAAATACATTTCATCGACGACTACAATATATCCTATGCAAATAAAATGTTCTGCACACCTCTAATTAAATAATATTTTTACTCCAATACATATAAGACAGTTCGAAATACAAGTTTAGACTACAAAGCGAGGGAAAGAGGTGGAGAATAAATGTAAACAATTAGTTGTAGAAAAGATAGTTGAGCTGGAAGGCCAATGATAGCGATTAAATTATGCGATTTAAATAAAGGTTACTCAGGCGGTGCGAGCGTAGCGTCTAGCGCTGAAGCGGACTAGCTGGCGCTGGGCGGTACGGTGGCCGGACGGCTACGAAGGCCGTGTGCCGAGCGTTGCCGACTTCAGCCGACACGAACATCGCGTCGGCGCGTGCGCTGTTCAATATACATATTAAATAATTCAAAATTGTCAGACATTTTATATTATTGTATTACAGACCTAACCGATGACTATCTTTATTATGGCATATTTAAAAATTGGAATCAAGTATTTACAACTATTAACAATTTAAAACAGTTAACTATTTACATCTTAAATATGCAATCACTTAAAATAAAACTAACTTACTGGTATTTTAATAGGTGTTCAAAATTGAGTCGTTTCTCACAATTCACAGTTGAGCATGTTTCCTTAAATTGTTTTTCACATTAATTACATGTGTCTGAGCACTTTTCGACGTAAACTTGTCTCTATTTCACCCCATAAATAAAAGTCTAGTGGTGTAAGGTCCGGTGACCTTGCAGGCCATGGTATAGGGACGCCACGCCCAATCCATCTATCTTCGTATTCGCTATTCATATAATCACGCACTGTACTTAAATGATTAGTGAGGCGGAGCATCGACGTGTTGGAAATAAAAATTATTCAGTAACTATGGGTATATGTTGAATAACACCTTGTAACATGTCCAAATAATTACCACCCATTAATCGTCTTTCAACAAAGTACCGGCCCACAATTATGTTATCAATAATTCCGGTCCAAACATTTACACTAAATCGCACTTGATGATAACTATATTTTATAGAGTATGCAAATACTGCCCACTTATGTTCGTTGCGACTATTATAAAGCTCTACACGCGTAAATAGAGCTTCGTCAGCCCACATAACATTAGTATAATCAATTTTTGACAACAACCATTTACAAAAATGCTTTCGAGGTAAATCATTGTTATTCTTCAGTGCTTGCACACGTTGTTAATGAAATGGGTGATATCCAGAAGAATTCAGTTTCCAGACATAGTACTGGCTGTGACAAGTAATACTACATACGAAAATTTAAAACACGGTACTTAATGAGGTCACGGTCAAGTCAACACTGTCGTCGGATGTCGATCGGCCAGGTGAAGGTACTCAGCGGTGTATTGGAAGGGAAAAGGCAGGGAGCCGGGGAGTCATAACAACTACATATTAGATACCTAAATCTGCATTGCAAGACGTTTTCAAGCTACTGGATTGGAAAGGATACGGTATTAACATCAATGGCGAGTACATCACTCACCTTCGATTTGCCGACGATATAGTTCTTACGGCTCAATGACCTCAATAGTGTCTCCCAACGGCCTACCCGTTAAGATTAAGATGAACAGGGATAAAACAAAGATCATGTATAACGTCCATGTCACACCTATGCTGGTAGTTGATGGGAGCACTAAGCTCGAATTTGTTGACGAGTATGGTTTACCTGGGACAAATAGTCCGACTAGGTAAGTACAATTTAGATCGAGAGGTCAATCGACGGATTCAACTCGGCTGGGCAGCGTTCGGGAAACTACGACACATCTTCTCGTCAGACATACCTCAAAACCTTAAAACGAAATTATACAACCAGTGCGTGTTGCCAGTGATGACTTACGGTTCTGAGACGTGGTCCTTTACTGCTGGCCGCACGAGGAAGCTCAAGGTAGCTCAGCGAGCTGTGGAGGGGGCTATATGCTCGAAGTTTCTCTGCGTGATAAACTTAGAAATGAGGATATCAGCAGTAGAACCAGAGTGGCCGACATAGCCCAACGGATTAGTAAGCTGAAGTGGCAATGGGCCGGCCATATAGCTCGAAGAACCTACAACCGATGGGGAAAAAAGGTTCTCGAGTGGCGGCCTCGTACCGGCGGACGAAGTGTAGGGCGTCCACCCACTAGATGGAATGACGACCTGGTAAAATATGCAGGAAGTCGATGGATGCAGGTGGCTCAGGACCGTGCTTTGTGGCAGTCCTTGGGGTAAGGCCTTTGTTCAGCAGTGCACTTGTGAAGGGCTGTAATAATGATGATGATGATTTTAAGGTTACAATTAAAAACATATTTAACTTAAAATATAAATATACGTGGCTGATGATGTTTAAACTCTAATATAAGATATAAATTAATTTCTTACTTAACGTGGCTCTATAACGTAAAGAAGACTATTACTACGTCTATGTTCAATTCAACCTAAAAATAACATACATACACATATCATAATTATATGTGCTATAGAGATTCCTAGACAGATCGAAATTTCCAGAGCGATTGCAAAGATCGCTTGTCTTACCTCAGAGAATCTATTTTTCAAAATGTACATGCCCAACTTAATTACTTATTTTACTCTCAATATTATAAATGTTAAACTAAATTATAACAATGAATGTTTTCTTGTTTGCAGATCTTAATAGTTCCTGTAAGACCGTCCGTCGTGAATTCATTTTAGACAAGTGAGTATATTATACGTTGAGTAGGTACTACACGACTTGGACAATGGGCTTTCAACTTTTAGTAATCCTACTGCAAATAACAAGGGTCAAATATTTGTTGTAATGTTTAATCAATCACAGTTTTTTTGCAAAAGAAATAGAAATAGAATTACTGAAAAAATAACTGAGACAATTTTTTATTTCTTACACCGGATAATAATGACTTACCATTGTAATTTATTTCATCATGTATTGTCAAAAAAAAAGCGTTCGAACTTTTAGCGCTCGTAGGTTTTGTACACAAATTAAATTCATAGAAGCTATGAAAAGTTGTAAAATGTTACCAAGAGGCAAAAACATAAAATTTTGTACACTTCTATTAAAACTTAGATCTATTTACTAACTTTCCATAAATTAGGCATAAATTAACTTAATGTGATGGAATGAGGTTATTTATATATTTTTATTAAACTTTTAATGTTGGTAACCAATCATGTACAAATCTTACGAAAAAAGAAAGACGATTCTAAAAAACGATACGTAGGTATTAAAATTTCTTTACATTAATATAATAATTTAAATTTGATGGAGTCACGCTGCATTACAATATGGTTGCAGCAGTATAGATCCGCTTGACCGAGGAAAGGACCACGATCACTAGTGTAAAATGCAATTGTGTTTCGTATAGTGAGTATAGAATACCGAACACCATTTTAAAGAGCATTTCTTTTTAGTCTAAAACTCTCAGAAATGAGAGTAGGGCTGTACCCAGCAGTGGGACGTATATAGACTGTAACTATAACTGTTAAAATAGACTAATTAATTTGCAAATAAAAATAATTCGTGCTTGTGTTTAGGAGTTCGGTCCATTTCGTCGCAATAACCGATTCATCGTTCTAAGCGATGTTGGTTCCGGTTTCGACTGTCCTACTAAAATATTAGGCGTCAGTAGATTCAAATAAAAGACTGTGACACCTGACACCTGACCCGATAAATAACTTTCATATTTAAACCACAATTACGTTTTTTTACGTTGAAAGTAACTTGAAATTATTTTCGTAAGGTGATGTATTTTAATTGTTTCGTTTATTTATTATTAACTCATTTTGTATCAAAGAAGTATGTAGTATCTCAGTAAGCCACTTTTCAATTTATGCGTTACACTATCGAGGGTACGTAGGCGTGACAAGGAATGAACACATCGCCTCCATTGTAATTAATCTTCGTATCTACTGATCCGATTCTGAAAATTCTTTCACGAATAGGAAGCCACACTATACTTGAGTGTATTACGTTATCTGTGTCTAGGCGATTCCTGACCTGGATGCTTTATCGGCATGCGCTGTCTGTTTTTTTTTATAGGATAGTGTGACAAACGAGCACACAGTTCACCTGATGCTAAGTGGTTGCTGTAGCCCACAGACATCTACACTATCCTCGTTTGTAAATCAAAATGCTGATGCGTTGTCAGCCGTGAGGACTAAGATGAAATGCCTATTTTCCAGTCAAAAGGGTCTCTGGTTCTCTACACTCACCATACGAAACACAGCAGCATTAAGCTGCTATTTTACGGTGGTATTCTGTGAGAGCGTGGTCCTTTCCCGGTCGAGCCGACCCATTCGTGCTACAACTATACTATTAATATAGCTGCAACATGGCTCTACCACGTAATAGTAAGTAAATAAAATATGATAAACATTGGCTTTTCTAACCTTACAAAAATGTCCGTGATACCTTAAATATTATTTTCCAGCGACTGTAACGATTATTTTTAACATTTTAACAAAAAATATTTTGTGTGGTTCAAGCATTATTCTTATATAGCTTGAGCCGTGGTAACTCAGGCGCTAAATGTTCGCTGTAAATTTCACAGTACGCGAGCAACCCGGGTTCGATCCCCGGCGACACCAATGAAATTGTTAAATGCAATTTTAAGTGCTGATTTACCACGTGCTCGGCGGTGAAGGAAACATCGTGATGAAACCTACATGTATGAGAAATAAGAAATAAAAATTCGAAGGCATGTGAATCTACTTTTTTTATAAAACTATGCAGTTCTGTGAACCTAACAAAGGTGTTATTTATTTGCAATGACATTAACAAATAATTTGTACAAATAACAGCCAGTTTAGTGCCCTGTCTAGACGGGGGCTTACACGGTAGCTCATAAATCGCAACATTCCGCTCACTCTTTTATGACGTTAATATTCGCAAATGTATGTACAGCGTTTTTGTATTGTCTTTTGTTTTTTTTTATTTCTTATTACAAAAAATTTCTTCAATAAACAGAATTATACATTTTGTAAATTGTACATTGTACATAAAAAGATAAATTATAACTAAAAAACTAAAGCATAAAATATTTTCACATTATAAAGTCGGTGCTAAAACATTATTGAATTCTTTTCATTTGTTTGATGTAGGCTTTTACTTTTCCTCTTTTTCTTAAAAGTTACATTTTGTACCCTTCTGCGTGAACAAAAGACTATCACAATCTCAATTCTGTCGAAAATAGTTCTATTAAAAACTTCGTCCCCTCCTATATTGTAGAACTTTTCTCCAAATTTATGCGGGACCACCCTTGAACTATAATAACTAAATATTTATTAATAATAATATATTTCATAAGAAAATTATCAAAATCGAATAATATGCATACTAAGAAAAAGAAAAACATACCCACAGTTAAGGATTGCAATCCAGCACTGTATTCAATCCATTGGATCCATGGATTAACTTTAAACTAGCGAAATCCCGAAAGGTTTTCTTTTTTTGGAACTTAAATAAATATTATTTATTATGGTATAAACAATATTGTATGCCGAGCGCAAAGCGCGTGGGTATGTTCTATTAGCGCCTAAAAATCAAGATTCCAACGTTTTGTCGCATGATATCGTATCCAGCAATCATATTATACATATAAATAATATAAAAAGCACATTGTTAGAAAGATAAATAATTGTTGAACTTATTAATATTTTTTTTAATCGATTAATTATTATTTTTAAATAAAAAAGGGGTTTTAGTTAGTGGCTTATGGTGTGGATTTATCATGTCCCCAAGGCTTGTAAACACGTTAACTTTCGAAAATATCAATTGTTTAACTCAATCTATTTTTCAATCTCTTCATCTATCATGTGGGAAGCCACTGAATGTAAATGGCAGTGTAATTTTGTTTTGTTTAGCTATAATTAATTTTTTTCGGCTCCAAAATGGCGAAATTTTCGTTGATTTGGTAGCCTTGTATGTAAATTATTTCTGTAAATGGGGAGCTACGGCCACAGAGTAGTTTACACTAACTCAGTTCGGCCTCAGTTTCCAGTTTATAAAATGTACTCTGTGGCCTCAGTCGCCGTCGTGAGTGTACATTGTTTCGGTTGTTTGCAGCGGCTCAAAAAGATTGCTGTACAAATACACAATATTCGAATAACCAAATTTCTTAAATATTTGATTATAATAATAATAAAAGATTTTTTTATTACAATATTTTAAAAGCACAGAATAAATAATAGTAGTACGTACTGAAAGTAGGGTAGTATAAACTTTTTTGTCATGGGTGACATTTTCATGGTTTTCGAGGGTGTTGAAACCGATAGGGTTGTCGAAATGTAAATGTAAGATGGCGGCCGCAATAAGTATCAATTTTTTCATCATGGGTGTCATTTTCATGGTTTTCGAGGGTGCTGAAGCCGATAGTGCTGTCGAAATGTAAATCCAAGGTGGCGGGTGCAACAGGTATAAATTTTTTCATCATGGGTGTCATTTTCATGGTTTTCGAGGGTGTTGAAGCCGATAATGCTGTCGAAATGTAAATCCAAGATGGCGGCTGCAACTGGTATCAATTTTTTCATCGTGGGTGTCATTTTCATGGGTATCGAGGGTGTTCAAGCCGATAGTGCTGTCGAATTGTAAATCCAGGATGGCGGCTGAATTAGGTACCATTTTTTTCATCATGGGTGTCATTCTCATGGTTTTCGTGGGTGTTGAAGTCGATAGTGCTGTCGAAATATAAATCCAAGATGGCGGCTGCAATAGATATCAATTTTTTCATCATGGGTGTCATTCTCATGGTTTTCGTGGGTGTTGAAGTCGATAGTGCTGTCGAAAGGTAAATCCAAGGTGGCGGCTGCAATAGATATCAATTTTTTCATCATGGGTGACATTTTCATGGTTTTCGAGGGTGTTGAAGCCGATAGTGCTGTCGAAAGGTAAATCCAAGATGGCGGCTGCAATAGATATCAATTTTTTCATCATGGGTGTCATTTTCATGGTTTTCGAGGGTGCTGAAGCCGATAGTCCTGTCGAAATGTAAATCCAAGATGGCGGCTGCAATAGGTATCAATTTTTTCATTGCCCGCGCGCAATATGCAAATGGACGAGCAAAGGCGCCAAACTATCAACACCGCCGCTCAATTTCACGAGTTTTCGATCGCTTCCGAGCATTGACGAACCCTGTCGGGTCGGGCGGAACACTGGCGCGGCGCGCCCTAAAATCCAAATGTCGCGCGTGAACTTTAAAGGTAATATTTTGTGTACATCAATATTCCGAGTTTGACTTTCAGAAAATTGGTCGAATATTCGAATATAGCAGATTTAATATTCGAATATTTGGACAAGGTATATTATTCGAATTATTCGAATATTCGAATGCAAGGCCTACCTCTGACGCGATATTTGAACGAAAATAATAATTAAAAATTTTGTTAGACACAGTCAGATTATTCTTTAATAATTACTGGTGATTATTTCGATTAATATTATTTATATTATTATTAAATTGTTTATGTAATAAAATATAGGATTGTAATACGTTTGACGGAAAAGGTTAGACGCCATCCTAAATCCAATCACATTTGATTGTAAGCTGAAATTACAACTTATTATTTTATTTATAGACAACTTCGTTTATAATGTTTATAGTTTTATTGATTTTTAATATTTTTATGTATTACAAGACACTGTAATATTTTAAATTTATAGCAATAATATTATAGTAATCAATGAATAACTTTGTATTCAGT